TCTTCAAAAGCTAATGACATACTACTTATTTTGCTGAAATTGTCAAAGATTGTATTTACTCACAAAACAAAACAAAAAAGGGGGATATAAATAAAGGACCATTTTGTTGTGAAAAAAAATATGTATGTACAAGATAGTTAGGACAGATATATAGCTACTTTCTCTTAGTTCAATGAGAAGAAAGGTTTGTACTAATATTGTTTAGACAAGATATCATGTCTACATCTTGTCCTCTGAATAACTACTACGAAGACAACCATATGCAATGTATTAATTATTGTAACTGTTCTACTAACGTGTCTGGAAACTGTTTCATTACTGTTTTATCTTTTTTCTCATTAAAATGAATAAAAACATTTAAAAGAGAAATAAAAATGAAACAACAACAAAGAGTTGTAAGAAATTAAAAAGAAACAATAAGAAAAAGAGAAAAATTAAAAAGTTTGTATTTAGATCCCAATGCTTTTATTAAATGTTTACAACAGTAAATAGTTTGAGTTTAGTTAAAACAAAAAAACTAACGAACTTAGAAGAAACAAAAGTCTTCAAGGGGAAGACCTAGGAGAGAACAATTTGTAATTTTTTGTTTGAAATAAATGTTAATGAAGATGTACGATAAATGATGTCTAAAATTTAAGACCACCACATCTAATAATTATATTGTGTTTCCCACACTATTTTATATTTCATGAATTTAAAATATTCTAATGTAAATAATTCTGAGCTTTGTATCATGGTATTTTAAGTACATGCTATGAATTAAGACATTCCTCTGCCTCTCAGTCTTTGAAATTAGTAACTTGTATTCAGAAATTCTATTCTGTAAAGGCTAATAACAACCTATACAAAATTGTCTTGCTTGTTTCTAAGTCTTTTTTTCTTACAAATTTATACATCTCAATTATGAGGGTGTCACAAAAAATAGCCTATGACTTAAACATAAATGGAGGATGGTAAACATTTCTTGTTACTGTAATGTTACATTTTGAATGGTGCAATATATATATATATTTTTTTTTCGAAAATTGGGATTGAACTCAGGTTCTTGCGCTTGCCAGGGAAGCACTTATTCTAATGAGCCATCTCCCCAGCCCCCAATAAATATTTTACTGAATTAACTAACGCTACATGCCATCTAACCACTACTACTGTGACAGGAACATTTTTCTGCCCTTTTTCTTCATGAGACTGTTATGTCTTGTAAACACAGACAGTCATTTCCAAGTTTTCATTTTTTTCCCAAAATTTCATTTTTTTTGGTTGCTATTACAAAACACAAGTTATATACAGATAAACATTTCAATAAGGTAATAAAGAAATGCAATTAAATTATTAGTATATATTGAAATTACTAAGAATAAAATACCACACTGATTATCTTTACTAATAATATGACAACAGCCATAACTTTAACCAACTTCAAACATTAGGTTGTAATTAACCAAATTGTAGTCCCTACAGATAAACTACGGTAACCAAAATCCTAGTCCTTGTAAATAAACTACAGTTGCTCATAGTCATTAAATGATTTATGTTTTATAAAATACCTTCTATCTTAGGATAGTGTGATAACTGACCTTAATATTTAGATGTCACACTAGTTCTAACTTAACCATGACTGAAAAATTACTAAGTCCAGCTTAAGTACTTAAAACTTGCATTTTAGAATGTTTTGGTTAGTTAGAAAAAATAAGTATCAATGTGGCACTTAAAACGTAAACACTGCTTTTCAGACAGTAACAGCAATATATTCATGGCTCCTAAGTTTAAGAAGATCCATCCAAGTTGGATTATTTAAACTTGCAATAAATAGATGTATTTTCTTGGAAAAATATCTATTGTTATAGTAAAACTTGAGTTTCCTTTCTGAAAAGATTGCATGATTATTCGTTTATATTGTTCTTTCCGCAGGAATCTGCACACCCCTTGTTTGCATCCTGTTATTCATTTTGAGCTTCCCTTCACTTTGCTATACGGTTTCCCTACTAGTGGGACAGGGAACCTAAGAGAGCAGGAAAACCCTAAACACTGCAGCCTGCTCCAAGTCTCTGACTCTCATATGGCATTTTTCAGTTCCTACGGGTTACCCCGGATTTTATTCTCTGTATGCTCTGAAACACTGTGCTGTCATTCCAGAACAATGACATTTGGGAGATCTGAGATCTTTTGTTTTTAACTAATTTGTACACCTCACTTCCCTCTAACTCTATATTCCTTACTGTACAGAATAACCTGGGTACTGTGCAAGACATACGCATGCCACTAAAACCTAAGCAATCACAGTTATGGTCTTTCTAAAACTTTTTTGTTTGGATCTTTCCTTCCAAAGGTAAAGCAAATAATTATTTAATAGTAGTTAAGGTCACAACTAAGGCCAGGGTAAGATGCTGCTATAGACTCTCTAAAATGCTTGTTTAAATTCTGATTTCTATATTTTTCCATAAAATCTACTGAGTGGCCACATAAGAGGCACATCCCATTGAATTTGGAACCTGTAAAGATTGTAAGATTAAAAACAATACAATTGATGAAAGAATACAACTTTACTGTAGACAATAAGATCCTGTCAAATACACTGGAGTATAATAAAATTAAACTAACTTATTAATAAACAGACAAGAAATTACTTTTAACAAGAACTCCATGATGAGCCCTGTTACACTGCAACATTCTTTAGAAGTTAAACCTGTGATCTCCTTTATTTGAGGCACAGATGTCAAATTATATATGCATGTAAATGTGTATATGTATAATATATTAAATATGTATGTGTGCATGTATGTATGTATGTATGTATGTACGTATGTGCATGCTCACATACACACATATATCTAGAAGACAGTAATTATGCTAGGATGAATGGCACACAGATTACACAAAACAACTTCAGTTCTGTTCTACTGGACAATTTATATATTTAAGAAAAAAAACATTATAAAGAAGTAAATGAGAATGCAAAATAACCCAGGTTGATAAATCTAATCCAGTCTCAAGCTTCTGTGTACAAACTCTCTAAGGGTGGGGACGACGTCTTGACGGAATTCCTACCACCAACATGTGCAGAGGTGCAGAGGAACAAGACAGCTTCCCAGGAAGCTGGGCGTGGGTGTCAGTTACAATCACAGCACGGCTGCCAAACGCCAATACACAGCTAGACCCACAGCCAGCTTGTGACTCCACAGGCCTAGGGTGAGGCTCAAGAAAGAGCATTTATAACCATTTCACAAGTAATGCTGATGCTATTTACTGAGGACAACGCTTATGAAAACAAGACGCCTAGGGAGAAGTCCTCAGAGTTTGCTCAGAAAAAACCATACATGGAATCCAGAAGCTGGATTCTAGTTTTTCTCCCAAAAGACTCCATAGCTGATAAATATACGCACATAGTTCTGTCACTAAGTACTGCATAAGTCATCCCCAAGATGAGTGGCTTGGTACGATAAAACTGAAAATTCAAAGACAGAAAAAATACAAGGTCTACTACAAATCTTTTAAAAAGTTCATAGAATGCTGTCCCATTCTTTCCCTGAAATCACTACCTTCAATCAAAAATATACTGCCCAGGGCTCTGTCCAAGTGCCTGCCTGGCAAGTGCAAGTCCTGAGTTCTATTCCTAGTACACAAAATAAAATACTGAACAGATCATAATTGTTAAAGCTGCACAGTTTTGTTCCTAAGAAAATCATGTCAGTAAACCTACAAACCAGCAAATAAAAATGATACTTATATCAAACAACCATGTAAACATAAATCTAAAGTAAACTTGCTATACAATACTCCAAATACAAACTACAATTTCAATCTGTAAATACGGAGCCTAGAAACTGTCTGGTGACCTAGTTAAGTAACATCAGCATCATCTCAGAGCTTCCCAGAAAGGCAAATGTGTGGCCACACCTGAACCAACCAAAGAAGAATCTACAGCTTAACATGATCCCTACAATTTGTAAGCACCCTGACATCTGGGCAGCACGGAGACAGGCCACTGAGATTCTACCAGGCGGTACAATAAGATGACTATAGAAAAATGTCCTTGAAACATCTATGTTTGACTTATAAACAGACAAAAGAAAATTATTTTACATGAAAAAAGTCACTGGAACATCAGTCGAAACAAAAACTTCGCATTTAAAATACTATTACAATCAAATAGTGTGGATCTGAATGGTAAAAGGCAGGTCCTAGCTACTGGGCTCCAAACTCCACCCTGTACAGCTGAGTAAACTGAGGGGTGGGGATGCTGCCTGGTTTGGTTAAAGTGAAAACAGCTTGTCAGTGGCACAATGGAAAATGAATTCAATTCCTTTAGCTCCTATACTAATGTGTTCTTTCTACTTAGGAAAAATGTTTTAATTACATCTTCTTATAGTAGACTTACATTGATATAAAACAATTAGAAGCATATATAATTCTGAAAGGAAAAATAACTTAGCCATGAAAACAGAAAATCCAGTAACAATGTATCACAGTATTAATATGTACCTTATTCTTGCCTTCTAAAAAAGAGAAAGACACTTTATTTTTTGGCGGAACTGGGGATTGAACTCAAACCCTTGCGCTTGCCAGGGAAGTACTTACTCCACTGAGCCATCTCCCTGGCCTTGAGAAAGACACTTTAAACAGTTGAAATGGAAGAATAGGAGCTAGAAATGAACATACACAGTTGGAGCACAATTTCTAAATGTATGATTATTAAAGACGGATTCATAACTGTAAGTAGCTGGTCTGTTGGAAGAATGGAACCAGAAAATAGCTTTTAGGAGTAACACAAACTTGACTTTGTCATTAAGTTGTTTTTTTTTTTTTTTTTTGGGGGTCCCGGGGTTTGAACTAGGGCTTTTTTTTTTTCCAATTTTTTTTTTTTTTTTTTTTTTTTTTTTTTTTTAAATAGAAACAGATAAAACTTTTCTTACACATGGCTGTATAGTCAGCAACATAGAAATAGCCCTATTTAACGCTAGCATTTTTTTAAGTTATCGTAAAGAAACCTACTGTCTTACCGTCAAAGAAACTTTTGGCTCTTAGGTAACTGACACTGAGCCTAAGAACTGAAAGTTTGTCCAGTTTATTAATAACATCTTGTGGAAAAGGCAGCAGACTAGCCAAACGGTCCAACTCTGTATTAAGTCGATCTCTATGTCTCTTGGAAGGATTTGACTTGATTCCTTCAGCTGGGATTGGCTTTACACTGAAAAACAAATAAAAGACCGTAAAAATCTTTAAACTATAAAGCAAAAATATCTATTGCATTATAATATCTCCTTAAATATTTTTGGAATATAACAAATTTTAAAAATTTACTTTAGAAAAAAAATACTTTAGGTTTACATAAAGATTAGGTTGCCCAAATCTTCCTTTCATATCTTAACTAAGTAAAACAAGGGCAGGGGTAAAATTCTATCTAATATTTTACTTGAAAAGCTGTGAACTCATCACAGGAAACATGCTAAGTACATACTGGGAAAATACTTATATTTCATACGCATAGAGTAATTCACAATTAACAAGACTACTAGAATGTTTTCTCCCTCAAACACAGTCATTGTGAGTGAAGGACAGTACATCTGTGATGAATTATGTGAAAAGTATGCCTCTGCTGCTGTCTTCCACAAGTATCACAGCATAATTTACGTTGCAAATAAGCAGAAAACCCATAAATAAAGCTTATCTTCATTATTTCCAGCTTCTACTTTCATCTGATTGGTAAAGACTTCCTAGGCCCCCTTAGGCCCTAATAAAGGTTCCCTTGTCATTTGATATGGTCCTGAAATGTTAAAAAGGAGAACAGATTTGATTTTATTGATATTTGTTGAATGACAGATATTAGAGGTTAACTCTGATTAATGGCAATATTTGCTTTCTTGACTGAGCAGATTCTACTTAATTATTAGCTTTCACTGTTTGTATTGGAATATTTACTTAGAAAGTTCAATAAAAACCCAAGAACTTGACATGACATTCGCCTGAGAGAAGATTTGTGGAAAGGAGAGGAGCATGAATGCAGAAATGAAAACTGGGAAGCTCCACACAAAGGCCTTAATCAACATTTCACTACAGAAATCAGTCATGTATAGCAAATTTACAAATCATCACACCTATGCTAAAACAAAGAAGAAACTAAAAAAACCAAGATAATTTTAAGAATATGACTCTACACCTTTCCAGTGTATTATTACAAAAAAGGCATTTAGGACAAGCCAAATGGAATTTTGTCTTAGAAAGCAGAAATTAGCTTAGGTGTAATGCTATTAATTTGCTTTGATCAAAGCACTTCTACATATTTATATCTTCAATGATATTTGTAGGAAAATTTTTTATGTAAGAAGATAAAGTATATACGGAATTGTATTATTTTTTACACTGCCCATAAGTAAATAATTTCTTTAGGACTTAACTTTTTTTATTTCAGTTCATATTATTTCTGTTTTAAAAAGGGTAACAAGTTGGTAGCGTGGTATAGAGATAAAAATGCTTTCTCTATAGACTATTTGTATAATCGCATATGAAACAAAAATTATAGACTATTTCCCTAGCTACCTCCCCCAACTATATGGTACTGCATTCTTTATTAAGACACACATAAGTACTATATTTCTCCAATGAGCCAACTGAATCTCAATTTCTGCTTATAGTGCTTACCTACCTTTCTGTACAATGCTCTACTTGTTAATTACTAAATTGTCATAAAATACTTCCTGCATCTATCATATGCTGCAGAGCCCAGGGAGACACTCTTTTACCACATATACAACCAGCATGTGGGTGTAAGTAGGAGCAAGCACAGGAGAGAAGATTTTATAGAAAAAGTACCATCTGGGTAGCATCTCAAAAGATGAATGGGATTTTGTGGGGAAGCAAAACAAGGTCTGATTGAACTGTAAGAGGCCTCCTTGCTGCACTGTGATACCCACGGAGAGAGAAGGGGCAAGGAGTTTGGGGCCAAATACTTCCAACAAACATTCCACACCTCCAAAGACGTGCTAGGTGCAGTATACTGAGAAGTGGGCAAAACATACAAGACCTTCTGTTCTCATGGCGCTTACCTCCCAGTTGGAGGATAGATGAAAAACTCAGAGCTCTTCCAGCTGATGAATGTTCAGAAAGAAAGAAAGGAACCAAGAAGTGATAGGGATTCTGGTTTTGATAGCCAGGGAAAGCGTCTGGTGTGATGTTTCAGCACAGTAACAGACACAATGAAAAGGGTGTCGTGTGGGTGTAATGCAAATGTTCAAGATGCTACGAGCTAGGAGGATAGCTCAGTGGCATAAGCACCTGCCTGGTAAGTGTGAAGTCCTAAGTTTGATCCCCAGTACCAAAAAAAAAAAAAAAAAAAAAAAAAGGAAGGAAGGAAGGACAGACAGACAGAGATGCAAGGAATTGTAAGTTTCCTCAAAGTTATGGTAGAAAACTAGATTTTGGTACCTGGGTGTCATCTTAAGCTTTGAGTGTAATGTACTCTCCCCATGTTTTGCTAAGTGGACTCTAGCAATAATGATTATGAGAAGCAGAAGAGGGCTTGCCAAAGTTAAGATTCTACCACCAGGAAGATTTTTCTGATATGCATAAACCAGTAACACTCCTCAAATTAAACCTTGCAGTAGCCTTGAAGTGTCCATATTTATAGCTTAGCATATAAAAACCTTCATGACTCCTGGCTTCCATTCAACCCTCTGGCTTCACTTCTTCTAACTAAAAGCCCTTCTTGCCCGCTATACCTTAGCTAAGAAACTTGTACAGTTGTCAACATGTATGCCCTTCAAGTCTGCTCGTAACTTTCAGTCTTCTGTTCTACCTCCTAATGGATTAGCTGTTGTGCTCCAAAGGCCTTCTGTATCTTACATACAAATGTCTTACAACCATTCCACTAAGAAGTACTCTGCACAAATAACTTCACACAAAGTGAAATCGTGTATACAATCTAGTCCAGCACTCTTGGTAGCTGTCCAGTCATGCTCATGAAACACTGAGGAGGAGACAGGAATACAAACACTGAAGTGAGACAAACTGGCATGACAGAGAAATCACAGCGCTTACAGTACGTCTCTCTTGGCGGTCCCACTGTCTCGCTTGCGCTGCCTCAGTATTACGCAACCCAACCTGACAATCTCACAACCTCTGCAGTATTCAATACAGAGTGACACTGTCAGGCTGTTTCATTACACAATGCAGCAATGTCTATATTTCTAATGCATCACTGTGCATCTTATTAAATATTTAGCATAAGATCAAATTTCTAACAGTATTCAGCATGCTAATCACATGTACTTGTTTGTCTGGTACTCTCACTACTCTATATATGGGCGTTTTGCTCTCCCCAGAGCCCAGCACAGTACAAGCGGACTCTCAAATGTTTGCCAGCCACAAGAGTTCAGAGAATAAATGATTAGAGCCTGACAAAAGGCAGTGGTGGGAAGGACATCAAAAAAAGAGTGGCTTGAGGGGAGACTTAAACACGAGTAAGATGTCTGCGCAATTAAATGGCCTGGGTACTGAAAGGAGAGGAACATGCTGGGTGGGCAAGGCTGCAGTGGACTCCGAGGTCTCTAGTTCAGAAAAATAGCTCATGTCCTAATGAGGGCTCCACAAATACGATGAAAATGCCTGAGTGACATGAAGCTATGCAGATGACTGAGGAGGAATAACGAAGACAGAACAGAACCAGGGTAGATGGAGTATCTGGAGGGCACAGAAAAGTCGAATGCACTTTCTTCAGAAAATTAAGAAATTATAAGGAATTTATGAGTAAGGCCAGGACTGAGAAACAACCTCTTTCACATCTGCTATGTGTTCCACTTGATCTGAAGCTTTTAACATTTCAGATTGTTAAACCTAAACTGATCTATTTAGCTCACTTTTTCACTGATTTTATATAAATATTCATAATTTTGTGAAAATATTTCATATACACCTATACACATAAAAGACAGGCAGGATAACTATATATAAAGACTAATACCAACTGCACTTAACTTATATTATGCCAGCATTTTTACTTTTATATTGTCTTTACACCAAAGTACACTGAGCATTATTTAAATAAAAGGCTGTATTTTAGATATAAATTAACATCCCTGTAAGCTTAGATTTGGGAGCTCTCAGTTCAGAAATCTCCTAAATAGGCTGTAAGGTGTTAATGAGGCAAAGAAACTTACTATTTTTTTTAAACCTAAACCTCCTCTTGTCCCAACCTGTAGTCAGAACTGTTGTGCAAGCAGGGCCCTCGTAGCCTGCAAGCCACACTGCTGCTCCTGAAGCACTGCACACTGGAGCAACTGGTAGTGACAGGCCCGGTGACATGTTCAATGCCAGTCCGATGCTATTTTTAAAGTCTTCTTAATGTCCCAATCTAAAATAACTATCAGGCTTATCACCTGTGCCCAGTTTTTATAGCAAAATGAAAAAAGATTAACAATCTTGTTTACTCACAGATGAGTCTAATTGCAAGTGCTTATTTATTATAAAATCTCAAAATGACATGCAAAAAGTTTCAGTAGCCCTATGAAACTAGAATGACATTTCCTAACAAGTGGTCACTTCTTAAGAATACTGAGCTTGTTCTACCAGCAGTTTCTTCTGGGCAGCTGAATCTACTCCCACCGTTTCAGTCTACCTACCAATAATTTGCTTATCTCTGTTTGCGGTCACTGTACCTGAATGTCCTCATTCATGTTTTCTAGAACATAGATCCTCCTTAACGTCTACTATGGTGCTACTCTCCATCTACTAGGTAGAAAATACGAAGTACAGTATTACTTCATATAACCCAATAAACTGCACACAGTAAACTCCACTTCCTCCTCTCAGCTTCAGTGTCTACTTACTTCAGAATGACAATATTTAATGCATAAATCCGAAACTGTGATCAATGTAATATTACAGAATTGATGTGTATAGCACAATAGTCAAACTTTAACATTTAGACTGAACACAGGTGGCTATTTTATAGCTCTATAAAAGGAAAAAGTATATAGCAAAACAGTTAAGAATTCTGGCCAGAAACAACTGTGAATGAGTAGAACTTCTGCTGTCACTGTCTCACTGCTGCGCTCCAGCTGTGCTGGGTCCTTTGCTTTCCCTGACTGTTATAGTTGAGGAAAAATGAGGTATAAACAGCATAATTTCCAACACAGCACACTAATAGTAAAAACAAGGGGGAAAACAGTATGCTTTAGAAATCACTAAATCCTG